AACAGATGATGGAGAGAATGTGGAAAAATAGGAACACTTTTACACTGTTGGCGAGAGTGTAAATTAGACCAACCATTGTGGAAGACAGTGTGGAGATTCCTCAAGGATATAGGACTAGAAATACCATTTGAGCCAACAATCTGCATATATGCCCAAAGGATTATGAATCACTCTACTATAAAGACACATGCATATGTGTGTTTTTGGCAGCACCGTTCACAATAGAAGACTTGGAACCAGCCCAAGTGCCCATCAGTGATAGACTGGATAAAGAAAATGTGGCATATACACACTGTGGAATACTATGCAGCCATAAAAAGGATGAGTTCATGTCCTTTGCAGGGCCATGGATGAAGCTGGAAGCCGTCATTCTGAGCAAACTGACACAAGAACAGAAAACCAAACATCACATGTTCTCACTCATAGGTGGGGGTTGAACAATGAGAACACGTGGACACAGGGAGGGGAACATCACATACCAGGGCCTGTTGGGGGTTACGGGGTGAGGGGAGAGATAGCATTAGGAGAAATACCTAATGCAGATGATGGGTTGATGGGTGCAGCAAACCACCATGGCACATGTATACCTGTGTAACCTACACATTCTGCACATGTACCCCAAAACTTAAAGTATAATTAAAAAAAGAAAAATTTATGTTTCTAGGTGTAAAATTTGTCATCTGTCTTAAGAAAATTGGATGAGTTTAAAATATTAATACCTAACTAAAATTTTAAGACTTTATTTTCTAATTTAAAAACAACCTAAGCCTACTTAAGAAAAAATCATAGAAAAAGGCAAATTTATAAAATATTATATAAAAGTAACCAAAGTAGTGGTAGGAAAAAAATAGCCACATAAAGAAGTAATTGTAATGGTTATACATGCTATAAACAAATTAATTTACAAGAACAGTTAGTGACTGTCTTAATTCTTACATTTCTTGACTTGTGGGAGTTTGGATTTGCTGTTTCAGAAAACACTTTTATTCACTTCATTAATGGCACAGATTTTTACTTGTCTCATTAAAGAATCATGTTTGTCTATTTTTTTTCTCCTAACATTTCTAAATGTGTTTCTATTTTTGTTGAAGAGAGGAGACATAAGCCTTTATTTCACTGGTAACTACGAAAAACTGTACTTCCAGGTTCTTAATTCCATCATTTGTATAATTATATCAAATGTGTTCTTTAAGTCACTCATCATTGCACCCTCTGACTTACTGTCTCACTTTCGATGGATTGAGCTTTAGACCTCTGTATAATGCTCATCATTGGATTTCTCTTCATCTAGATCTTGAGTTATTTCGACTGTATCTTCTATCTTCTACTTTCTTTAAGTAACATGTTATGTTGTGAGAGAAAACATCTTTGAGTAGGTCCTCTCCTTCCCTTGAGAGTGACAGGTGATAAACATTCTCTGAGTCATTGCCTGGTCAAACATGTATGTATTTTGCCATCACACTAGACTGATAGTTTGACTTAGAACATAAGCCAGGTTAAGAATCACTTCCGTTTCCCCCAGAATATGACTATTGTTCTCTAGCCAACCGTGTTTTAGAAGACAAGTGAGACCCTGGCCTTGTTTTATCTTTGGAAGCTTTACAGAATTTCCCTGATTTTGGAGTTCAGAAATGTTAGTAAAATATTACTAGATGTGTGATTTTTTCCCATTATTTCTGGAAGACAGTGGTCAGCAAACTATGACAAATCTTTCCTGATGCCTATTTATGTTTAATAAGGTTTTACTGGAACACGACCACTTCCATTTGTTACGTGTTGAAGCTTTTGTACTGCAATACAGTCAAGAAGTATAACCTGCAAAACTTAAACTATTTACTGTCTGGTTCTTCACAGAAAAAAGTTGCCAACTATTCCTGTAGGGCATTCAGTGGGCTCTTATTGCGTCTTTGTTCATAGCTTCCCATTCATATTTAGAGAATTTCTTCCTCTCAATTGCTTCTGCTACCTTCTTTCAGAATTCCTAGTTGGATATGGAATTTCTTACATCCATTACCTGTTTTTATTTTCTTCCATATTTTCCATCTCTTTGTTTTTTGACTCTGTATTTTCAGAATTCATTTCACATTATTTTTCAGATCATTAACCTATTCCTCAGTTACATCCATTCAACTCTTCTACTAAATTTTCCAATAAATTTTTGCCAGCACAGGAACACTTACTTTGTTATATCTCTTTTTTTCACAGCACCTGTTCTTGTGTTATAGCTGTCACAGCCTGTTAAATCTTTCTGGGGATGTTAAATAAATCTCTTTCTAAGAAACAGATCTTGCCTACTTTCTGCATTAGCTCTGAATACCCTAGGTCACCTGTGCTCTTGGTTTATCTCACTATTTGTGTATGTTGCTGTTGGTTCTTCTTAAGTGCATGGAGATCCTTGGTTGTGCATTCACACCATTAGAATGAAGCTGGTAAGTCAAGACGGCTGGAAGAGTGCCAGCTGCAGCTGTGCAGATACAGGCCTTTCTTGGAAGGTAGGCTGAGCTGTGAGTGGAGGTTTTGTGCACAGGAGCTTCATTTAGGAGTGCTGTCCGGATCAACACCTGTGGAGGCCTGAGGGACCCAGGATTGGGCAGAGGGAGGAGTTGAACTCAATGCAGTCCCAACGAAGTACTCTGGAGATTCAAGGTGGCAATGAGGGGAAGGGTACCCTTCAAACACATCACCAGTTTAGGACCTTATGTTTCCCTCCTCTCCCATGGAGCAGTCACAGGGTGAAAGCTATCCCTGGGGAGGGGACGTGGCCCTGGGAAGTGATACCCACTCTCCAAGTCTGAGGGCTATGCTCGTGGAGGGAACTTAGCCGACAGCATTCAGCTGTTCATACTTCAGAGGTAGATTGCTGCAGGCCTGCTTGAGGATCTGGGCTGCTCGTCATAGCTTCACTACACCCTGGATGGAAAGACTGGGGGCTTGGCCTTGTGAGTGGGAAGTGCTGACAGGCTTCAGGACATGGGAGCCAGGAGGAGTCAAGTGACTGCAGGGTCCCAGGACTGAGCCCAGCAGAGTGGCTTTGCTCTGCGGCAGGTAAAGCCTGTTGCAGGCAGAGCTGCCTTACCATCTGGAAAGCTGTTTGGCCTCAAGTTCTCCTAGGTTCAGCTCTGGTTTCCTCTGCAGCCCCAATGCCCTCAAGGAGTCCCACGAGGCTGACTCCACACTTGCCTGGAGAACTGTTTACTCACAGCATTAGCTGGGGGCAGATGCTAAGGCCAAGAGACTGGAAATAGATAGGGTCACCCCCTTACTCCCCTACCAGATAGCTGCCCTATGGAACTGGTGCTGCTTTTCCTTGATCCTCCCTGAGCAGAGTGTGCTGCTGTTTATGTGTACGGGGTTGAGGGAGTCCTGAGATAATAGCAGCCACCCTGCAGTAGCAGCTGTTCCTGCCCATAGGATCTGCCTGTTGTCTTCCAGAAGGATTTTCTATCTGCTCATGGCACTTTATCTATTTCCAATGCTACCCATTGCTTTTTCTAATTATATTTGTTCCTGCCATTTCAGAGAGATTATTGTAGAGACATGCATTAGAAACTTTCTAAGCCTGCTGCTTTGAGCCAGCAGTACACCAGGGACTTCTTGTCTAGGTCTTTGTAGGTTGAACTGAATGAAATTGCATTTTATGATGATCAAAATCCATTGAATATTGGCAATTTCATGTGGTTCAATCTAACTGTAAGTCCATAGGGCACTGCCTAAACCAGATAAACCAAGGAATACCTTCATAATCAACTTAAAAAAATACGAATTATTAAATTTAAAAAAATTCAGTTAATTCATTCTTTAGTTCTAAGGAAGAGAGCATATCATTTAGTTCCATTTCAACATCAAACACTGTGCTGGGCATCTTCTCCTATGTTATTTCATTCCGCTCTCACAACACTGTCATGCAGGTGTCCTATCTGGCTTATGGTGGCCACATCAGCATCTCTGGAGGGTCTCTTAAGCAGCACAGGGAATGGACTGCCTCAGACACACCAGTGTGATGGACACACCTGTGGGAAAATGGCTGTGCATGAATGTAGGGTTTAAGAGACCTATGAACAAGCTGCCTCCTGGGTGCCCAGGCATAGAGTGGTGCATCACTACAGTGAGCAGAGCTGCTTCACTTCTTCCTGCCCTTGCAGAAGCTACTGCTTACTAGGAGGGCAGAGTGTGTCCTGTCCAGGAAAAAACACCCTCTTACTTCCAACAAAGGCGTTGCTGAGAAGAGAGATCCCCAGCAGCCTGAGCTGGCTTTTCTATCCATCATTTAAGGTGAGAATAACTAGAACTGATCCTGTGGACAGTGGAGTTTTAGATACATCAGAGGAGGGTGAGTCCAAGAAGACAGATGCTCTCACAAGGGCTCAGAGTCTTTAGTTTGAAAGAAGTAGGGCCACATTTTGTGCCAAGCTGATGAATCCGCATACAGCGGGTACATCACTATGTATAAAGAAGGAGTATGTCCCCGGAAAATACAAAACAGGGTCAAAGTCGACAGGCAGGATTCATGGGTGTTTATCAGGAAGCTGCAGAGAAGCGCTGACTCTGAGGGTTGCAGGAGTGCCGGGACCTTGCTGAGGGGCAATGGGCCTCTCCACCATCTGGATGATTCTTTTAGGCCATTCGATGCTACCATGTTGTGCCATGCTCATAGACCACCCTCTCAGTGTTGATTCCTGTGGAGGAGCCCCCTCAGCTCTTTGAGGTTGCAGCTGGCATTGTGGAGAGGGTGGGCTCTGGAGTCAGACTGAGCTTCTTGTCATCAGTGACATGTATTTACTCACTGTGTGTGATTGGCTGTCTTCTCAGATAGCTCCCAGTGATCCTTACATCCTGCTATTCATGCCCTGATGCAAGCCCCTTTCCTTGAATATAGGCTGGATGCAGGAGTTTACTTTAAAGAATGCAATATGTCCAAAGTGATGGGCTGTCACTTCTGAGAGGAGTGCACACAAAATACCTGTGACTCCTCGTTTTATTCTCTCTGGCTTTTCTCAGTGGTCTCCTCTGATGAAGCAAGCTGCTGTGGTGTGAGCTGCCCTCTGGAGAAACTCACATAGCAAGGAACAGGGAGTGACTGCCAGCCAACAACCAGAGAGGAACCGAGGCCCTCATCCAACAGCCTGTGAGGAACTGACTCCTACCAACAGCCACTGGGTGAGCTTACAGGTGCTTCCTTCCCCAGTCAAACCTTGAGATAAGCCTGTAGCTACAGCCAATTCTGTGATACATCCTTGTGAGAGTCCCTGAGCTAAAGAGCCAATTAAGTCATGTCTGGATTCCTGACTCATACATACTGTGAGAAAATACACATGTATTGTTTTAATCCACTGAGTTTTGGGGCAATTTGCTACCTATTTGACAGAGTTTTCCAGTGAATCAGAACCAACAGGATGTGTATGTGTCTGTCTGCCTTCCTGTCTCTCTGCCTGTCTGTCTGTCCATCCATCCATCCATCCGTCTATCTAATGAGAGAAAGCTATTTATTTTAAGGAAGAGGCTCATGAGTTTATGGAGGCTTGACAAGGCTGAAATCTGTGAGATAGGTCAATAGGCTGAAGACGTAGAGATGAGTTGCAGTTCCAGTCTAAAGAGAGTGTAATGACAGACTTTCTTCACAGCCAAAGAGGTCAGTCTTTGTTCCATTAAGGCCTTCAACTGATTGGATGAAACCTACACACAGTATGAAGGTAAACTGCTTTACTCAGAGCTCACCAATTTAAATGTGAATCTCATCCAAAAAACACCTTCACAGAAACCTCCAAAATAACGTTTGACCAAACATCTGAGCACTGTGGCCCAATTAAGTGGATGCATATTTAGCCATCTTGGCTACCCAACCACAGGCAACAAATCCACTGGTGAACTAGGGCCAGTACTTAATCTCAACACGTTTCCATCCCTGCAGCTATATAACAAAAATGTAAGGATTATCATAAAAATTAGATGACAGGATACTTGCAAAGCACTTGGCACATGGTGCTCAGTAAACATTGGTTTCTTTCTCTTTTTCTTGCTTCCTTTCCCTTACTCATGGTAATGGTGGTAGAGATAACCTGAATAACGTTCATGCTTATTCTGGGAAACAGAAAGAAATATATCTCATGCTGAACTAACACATAATACTCTGTTTTGTGCACCAGTCTCTTTTAGGTTTGACTGTTTCCCTGTCTCTGAAAAACTAGCCAGTGTCATATTCGCTGCTGTAATGAACAGCAAAGTATGTGTCCAGGCTCTGTGCTGCAGTGAGTAAAGCCAGCTGTTAGTACTCTTCAGGTATGAGCTTTATATAATGAAAAGATAACAGATATTATTACTTTCTAATTGTGGAGAAGTTAAGGACGTTGCCAAAAGTCACTCAGCTAGTGACAGTACATCTGGGATTTTAACAGCGATGTTTGTCTCTGAGGCTTCTACCCTTTTCTATCAAATGCTTGCACAGTTCCGTCCATTGTTATACAAGTAGCCAATATTGCTAAAACGATGAACATAGCAAGATGTTATCATCCTAATGATCATTTAAAGCTACAAAACGGAGTTAAATGCGGGTTGCACCCTTCACAAGTGCTTTCTACTTCTACCTGCCACTCACTTTCAGCCGAGTGAAACTGATCACATCCTAGACTCTTTACTCAATCTTGTACATTCTGTCACCATAGCCCCTGTAACAAGTAATTGTGCTTCTTTAAAGAGTCTTCCTCTTGTGAAACTATTACTAGCCCCTTGACATAAGGGACAATGACATTCTTGTTAGGTGGTAGGTGTATAGGGGTTTATTTCATTATGCTTCACAACTCATATATATATAGACATATAAATACTTTAATGTATATTAAATGTCATGCAATACATTAAAAACAAAACAATTGGAAGAAGATACATCAAAATGTTAAAGTGTTTTTCTGTTATAAAACTGTTAACATTCTTTGTCTTTTTGGTTATACTCTTTAATTTTTCTATAAATATGTAATGTTTCTATAATTTGAAATACAAATATTAAAAAAGGGCTTTTTTGAATGAAAATAATTTTCAATCTGTATCATTCTTAGAAGAAATTGGTTTCATAAATTCATTTTATATTCAGTAGATACTTTGTTGTAAAAGTATAGCCTCTACTTTTTTGTTTGGTCCTGAGTTTGGCTTTTGCAAGTTTTAAATGGAGGTTCCAAGATGTTATGAATAAGTTTCATGTTCACCATATCTAAACCCCCCTAGGCAGGCATCTAAGCATCTTTCATTATAGCTGTTTTGGTTAGAGGTTAAAGGTGTCTGATCTTTACAAATATTCTTGAATATTTTACCTGTCCTGCCTTATATAAGTCTTCATAGGCCTTAGCTATGTCTGTGTTTATTTTTTATTTTAAGGAATGGTAACCAGAGCTGTGGCATGTTTAATTTCAGGAGTTGGTGTTCCAATGTCTTGGAAGTGGGCAGCTCACACTCACAAAATTTTCCCTAGTGCCCTTCCTGATAGACCAACATGATGCTTTTTGATCAGCAGGGAAATTGGGTTAACAGACTTTCTGACATTTATTCTTCCTTCCACTAAAGATGAGAGCACAGAATTCACAATTTCTCTGATCTCTGTTTCACCCATGAAAACATGTTCTGTATACTACTACTAACAATAACATTAACATTATGGTGTTTGTGTAGCACTTCACAGTTTATACGCTGCTTTCACATATGTTACCTACATTTAACCTTGATTATATCACTGATGTTTATAACCCTCTGAGGTATATAGAGGCAGCATTACTATTACCATTTTTCAGATGAAGAAAATAAGACTTAAGAAGCCTAAGTGATTTTCCTTTGCTGAAGTTAATCTCTTCATTCTAGTTGGAATAACTAAAAGTTATGACCATAGTTCATTCATCACATGAGAAAAAAATATTGTGCAGCATTGTAAAAATGCATAAATCATAAACATGAACAGATATAGAGTTATAAATATCTCAGGACCATTAGGTATTTTATCTTCATACAATGCAGAAGAGAGTAATCAACATTGACTTGGCTGAATGGCTGTGTCCATCTATGGCATGGGCATTTTCTCTAAAAGAAAATGCAGCTGTTGAGCTAATCATGATCATCTCCTTTTTAAAGAGCTGTCAGAGTGTGTCAATTTTTTTTTTTTAATCATGAGTTGTGTGTTGCTTTTGTGAACAAACCTAATCCCTGAATTTGGTTCTTAGGACAAAGTTGGTCTGTAGTCAGCTCTGTGAAAGGCTGAGTACATACGATGCTGAGAAAGATGATGAGGCGAGTCAGCTGAATGGGGCACAGCATGGAGGTTTACTATGGATTACACAGCAGGCCCAATTTGGACTGTGATTATTTTATCACTTACTTTCCAGCAACATTTTGGCTGCCTTCCTGTTTGTGGTTCACATATTAACAGAGTTTACTTAAGACAAGAAGATACTCAACCTGCAAACCTTTGATAAGGGCAGTGTTTGCTCAAAAAATGCAGTTTACATTTGCAGAGAAATATATTAATTGATGGTTTCTTTCACTGAATCCCATTACTCTATTCAGGTAGCTAAATATGGGTCATCTACTGCCTCAATTGTGGAAGCAGAAAACAAAGGGTCAGATTCTTGGCCTTGGGTTCAAAAGCTGAGGTACAGTTGCTAGCACAAAAATCATGTTTGCAGAAACAGTTGTTCCCTCAAAGAGAAGATAAACATTCTCTAGACTAGGGAAAAGTGAGAGAGTTAGAGAAGGGAGCAATAAGGTTGTATGCTGACATGGGTCTCTTAATATGGGCTCTGTATCCCCACCCCATCCCATCTTAGTCACAACCTCCAAAGGGTAGGTAAAAATTCTGGGATCCAAGTGAGTTGAGAGATCTGAAACAGACAGCACCTATGCCTCACTACCTGGAGAGGGGAGAGTGACCAGGAAAGCAGCCAGCCTCCAGAATCCCTCACCGATGTCCTATTTTAACAGTAGAGTGGACATAGTTGTGTGGATGTCTAGGCAGGGAGATCCCAAGACAGCCCTAGTGGATTTCCTGTAGTTACACAGTGTAACAGAAGAGCCATCAAGTACTTTCCAGATGGGTTTACAGCTGAATTCTACCAGAGGTATAAAGAGGAGCTGGTACCATTCCTTCTGAAACTATTCCAAACAATACAAAAAGAGGGAATCCTCCCTAATTCATTTGATGAGACCAGTATCATCCTGATACAAAAACCTGGCCGAGACACAACTAAAAAAGAAAATTTCAGGCCAATATCCATGAGGAACATGGATGTGAAAATCCTCAATAAAATACTGGCAAACCGAATTCAACAGCACATCAGAAGGTTTATCCATCATAATCAAGTCTGCCTCATACCTGGGATGGAAGGCTGGTTCAACATACACAAGTCTATACACGTAATCCATCACATAAACAACCAAAGACAAAAACTATATGATTACCTCAATAGATGCAGAGAAGGTCTTCTACAGAATTCAACAGTCCTTTATGCTAAAAACTCTCAGTAAACTAGGTATCGATGGAACATACCTCAAAATAATAAGAGCTATTTATGACAAACCCACAGTCAATATCATACTGAATGGGCAAAAACTGGAAGCATTCCCTTTGAAAACTGGTACAAGACAAGGATGCCTTCTTTCACCATTTCTATTCAATATAGTATGGAAAGTTCTGGCCAGGGCAATCAGGCAAGAAAAAGAAATAAAGGATAGATATTCAGTTAGGAAAAGAGGAAGTCAAATTGTCTCTATTTGCAGATGACATGATTGTATATTTAGAAGACCAAAATCTCCACCCAAAATCTCCTTAAGCTGATAAGCCCCTTCAGCAAAGTTTGAGGATACAAAATCAATGTGCAAATATCACAAGCTTTCATATACACCAGTAATATACAAATAGAGAGTCAAATCATGATTGACTCCAATTCACAATTGCTACAAAGAGAATATACAACTAACAAGGGATATGAAGGACCTCTTCAAGGAGAACTACAAACCACTGCTCAAGGAAATAAGAGAGAACAAAAACAGATGGAAAAATATTCCATGCTCATGGTTAGAAAGAATCAATATTGTGAAAATGGCCATACTGCCCAAAGTAATTCATAGATTAAATGCTATCTCCATCAAGCTACCATTAACTTTCTTCATAGAGTTGGAAAAAAACACCTTAAACTTCATATGGAACCAAAAAAGAGCCCACATAGCCATGACCATCCTAGGCAAAGAAAAAAAAAAAAACAAAAACAAAGCTGGAGGCCTCACGCTACCTGATGTCAAACTACACTACAATTCTACGGTAATCAAAACAGCATGGTACTGGTACCAAAACAGAGATATAGACCAATGGAACAGAACAGAGGCCTCAGAAATAACGTCACACATCTACAACCATCTGATCTTTGACGAACCTGACAAAAACAAGCAATGGGGAAAGGATTCCCTATTTAATAAATGGCATTGGGAAAACTGGCTAGCTATATGCAGAAAGCTGAAACTGGATCCCTTCTTATACCTTATACAAAAATTAACTCCAGATGGATTAAGGATTTAAACATAAGACCTAACGCCATAAAAACCCTAGAAGAAAACATAGGCAATACCATTCAGGCCATAGACATGGGCAAGAACTTCATGACTAAAACACCGAAAGCAATGGCAACAAAAGCCATAATTGACAAATGGGATCTAATTAAACTAAAAAGCTTCTGCACAGCAAAAGAAACAATCATTAGAGTGAACCAGCAACCAACAGAATGGGAAAAAATATGTGAAGTCTACCCATCTGACAAATGGCTAAAATCCGGAATCTACAAAGAACTTAAACAAATGTACAAGAAAAAAAAAACAACCCCATAAAATAGTGGGCAAAGGATATGAACAGACATTTCTGAAAGAAGATATTTATGCAGCCAACAAACATATGAAAAAAAGCTCATCATCACTGGTCCTTAGAGAAATACAAATCAAAACCACATTGAGATACCATCTCATGCTAGTTAGAATGGTGATCATTAAAAAATCAGGAGACAACAGATGCTGGATAGGATGTGGAGAAATAGGAAAGCATTTGCACTGTTGTGGAAGTGTAAATTAGTTCAGCCATTATAGAAGATAGTGCGGCAATTTTTCAAGGATCTAAAACTAGAAATACCATTTGACCCAGCAATCCCGTTACTGAGTATATACCGAAAAGATTATAAATCATGCTATTATAAAGACATATGCACATGTATGTTTATTGTGGCACTGTTCACAATAGCAAAGACTTGGAACCAATCCAAATGCCCATCAATGATAAACTGGATAAAGAAAATGTGGTACATACATACCATGGAATACTATAGAGCCATAAAAAGGATGAGTTCATGTGTTTTGCAGGGAAATTGATAAAGCTGGAAACTATCTTTCTCAGCTAACTGAAACAAGAACAGAAACCCAAACACCACATATTCTCACTCATGAGTGTTGAACAAGAACTCATGGATACAGGGAGGAGAACATCACACACCGGGGCCTGTCAGGGGTTGGTAGTTAAGGGAGGGGTAGCATTAGAATAAATATATAATGTAGATGGTGGGGTGATGGATGCAGCAAACCACCATGGTACATGTTTACCTATGTAACAAATCTGCACATTCTGCACATGTACCCCAGAACTTAATGTATAATAATAAAAAGAAGTACCTAGAGCTTCTGTACAGCAAAAGAAACAATCATTAGAGTGAACTGGCAACAAACAGAATGGGAAAAAATTTTTGCAGTCTACCCATCTGACAAAGGACTGGTATCCAGAATCTATAAAGAACTAAAACAGATTTACAAAAAAACAAACAAACCCATTCAAAAGTGGGCAAAGGATTCGAACAGACACTTTACAAAAAAAAAGACATACAGGAGGCCAACAAACATATGAGAAAATGCTCATCATCACTGGTCCTTAGAGAAATGCAAATCAAAACCACATTGAGATACTATCTCACACCAGTTAGAATGGCAATGATTGAAAAATCTGGAGACAACAGATGCTGGATGTGGAGAAATAGGAACGCTTTTACACTGTTGGTGGGAGCGTAAATTAGTTCAACCATTATAGAAGACAGTGTGGCCATTCCTCAAGGACCTAGCAATAGAAATTCCATTTGACCCAGCAATCCCATTACTGGGTATATATCCAAAGGGTTATAAATCGTTCTATTATAAAGACACATGCACACATATGTTCATTGCAGCACTGTTTACAAACTAAAAGACCTGGAACCAACCCAAGTGCCCATTAATGATGGACTGTACAGGGAAAATGTGGCACATATACACCATGGAATACTATGCAACCATATAAAATGATGAGTTCATGTCCTTTGTAGGGAAATGGATGAATCTGAAAACCATCATTCTCAGCAAACTAACACAAGAACAGAAAATCAAACACCACATGTTCTCACTAATAAATGAGTGTTGAACAATGAGTACATATGGACACAGGGAGGGGAGCATCACACACTGGGGTCTGTTGGGAGGGAATAGGGGAGGAACAGCGGTGGGCAGGGAGGTTGGGGAGGGATAACATGGGGAGAAATGCCAGATTTAGGTGACAGGGGGGATGGAGGCAGTAAAGCATATTACCATGTAGGTACCTATGCAACAATCCTGCATGTTGTGCCCATGTACCCCAGAGCCTAAAGTACAATAAAAGAAAAAAAAAATATATATATATATATATATATAAAACTGTTGGTAGGAGGATAAACTAGTGTGATTGTTTTGGAGGATAAGCTGGAAATTGTCATCAAAACTGAAAATGTACATACCCTTTGAGCCAGCAATTGCCTTTGCTTCTAAAAATTTATTTAATAAACAACATGACTACAAAGATGTATGTAAAAAAAAAATAGAAGTACCACCAAATACTTCCTGAGTTTTTCCAAGAGGGGCACAGATGTAGGCTTAGAGAGCAGGAGACCTAAGGAGACCCTTTGGCTATGATAAGGAAGACAGAGGGTAACCACATGGCCTCTTAACAGGAGAGCAGATGTAAACATGGGCACTTCTTGCCATGAGATGTAGATGCAGATGACTGAAACCAGCAGGCTGAAAATATAATGGTGGGTGTTGACTGGCTGAGGTTACTCTTACTCTTAACAACCATATCTCGACATTTTGACAATGTATAAAGGTTTTATTCAGTATTTATTTTTTGAGACAGGTCTCACTGTCTCAAAAAGACAGGCTAGAGTACAGTGGTGAAATCATCACCTTTTTTGTTTTTTTCTCACTTGATCAGGAAGTATGTGTAAGGGTTTTAAACTCAACATCTGTTTGTGAGTGGTATGAACTGACTGAAAAAACCTTTAGGTGGCTAAGATTATATTCTTATGATCAACAGTCTAGGGTTTTACAGTAGATATTATTTTTGCTACAAAAAATAAAGGACATTATTGCTTTTGTTTCCCGGAGCCAATTGCCTTTGAAGTCTATACCCTCTAAGCCCCTCTAAAGCTCATGATGAGAATGCAATCACAATGCAAAAACAGTTGGTGAGTTCGCCAAAACTGGACTTGGCTCCACCATCTTCTCCCAAAGAGAGACCTCCTCTAAGCCACTCAGATGGCACACAAAATCACTGTTGTTCTTTTAATGGTTGGACACTAAATATCATAAAACCTTTTTAGTTAGCTTGGTATAAGCATCACTTACGTTTTTATTCTTGAGAAAGAAACACTTTGATTGTCAAAGGCTAGTGATGACAAAGTGCTTGTAGCATGACCACAGAGCTAAAACCTTCATTTTGCTACACAGCTATTGAGACACAGGCTCTTCTCCACTACTCTATCTTAGAGCTTGGTTAATTTCTCATGCTCTATCCATGCAGATGGCATATAAAAAAAGTCAGATGAGACCAGAAAGTTTCTTAAAGTATGGAAGATGTTTCACAAATGTAACAACAGTGAAGTAATATCCACTATGAGGTCATTACCATTTTGGTGAGCTGGGTTCTTTTTCCAAATGAACAATGTTTGAAAGAAAATGGGCACAATGACTCATACCTGTAATCCCAGCACTTCGGGGGGTTGAGGTGGGCAGATCATAAGGTTAGGAGTTTGAGACCAGCCTGGCCAATATGGTAAAACCCCATCTCTACTAAAAATATAAAAATTAGTTGGTTGTGGTGGTGTGTGCCTGTAGTCCCAGCTACTCACAAGGCTGAGGCAGAAGAATCATTTGAACCCAAGAGGCAGAGGTTGCAATGAGCCAAGGTCATGCCACTGCACTCCAGCCTGGGCAACAGAGTGAGAATCTGTGTCAACAAAAAAACAGATAAACAAAAAAACTATGCAGGGTCAAGATTTGTGTGTGATCAAGAATTCTAGTGGTTATTATTATACCATAAGAGGTTTCCTTGGAACATCTGCCTTCAGTTATGGGCATCAGCAGTGCTCATCATAGAGTATACTTTGTCACGACACAACCTCTGAGGAGAAACAAGCCCCCACCACAAGAAGCGGCCACTGTGTCCAGGAGCATGTAATGTTTGGCCACAGCTGGGAGCTCTGTGACCCCATGATTTAATCTTACCATCTCATTTAATCTTACCTCTCATGGATCTTACCATCCATGAGACCTGTCAATCTGCAATGGCCGAAACACAAAGAACGTGTTTAAACGCTAATCTAGTCCATCAAACTGTCCCCGTTTGAGGTCTGAGGAGTTATACACAGTCTTTCCCACAAAATGCTATTTTGGGGGATATTTTAAATACAAAAGCCTTTCTGTGTTTGAAAGAAGCTCATACATAAGGACTTTAAACTGCAGTCACACTTTATCAGCACTCAAGCATGGGAGTTGAAATTGCACTGAAAGCTCTCTGGACTGCATTAAATCATCCTGTTGGCCGTGCATCAGCTACAGTTTATTTCCTCTGGATGGAGACTTTTCTTCCCAGATGGGTTGAACAGAGCAGCAAGCGTGTGTGTCATTTTGTGAGCTAGCCAGGGTTAGAGGTGAGTGGCAGCCTCCAAACAGACGCCTGGGTTGACTTCCCCTGAAACAAGGTGTGAGTTTCATTAAGTTCTTAAGCAGATACCATCAGTACTGTCAGGCCTTCATGTGGAAATAGAAGACAAATGCAGGCTGGGAATGCAGCTTCTACCTCCAAGGGCAAGAATAAAACACTGTTTTGTTCTATCAGAAAAGTAATTTAGAATGGTGGCTGAGGAAAAAAGAAAGATCAGCAAAACTGTGTCCTCTTCGAGTGTTTGTTCTCAAGTCTTTTATTGTTTCATTTGCGGAACGTGTTTGTTTTCTATTTGGACATCCATCTCTGTTCTATCACAAATGGGCTCAGATGTCCACATGGCTATTTACCTGATCTTGTTAATTTTCCTACTAGGAAACCCAGTTATCTGGGTAAAATACCACCCTTGGTGAAAATTATTTTCCCATAGGAGGAGAAGTGGCTTTTTCTATAGGTAGATGACTGTAGAACTGAATATTCAAACTAAGACATATTTTAGTGTAAAAGGAGGTATTGATAATTACGGTAGGAGGACTAGTACCCAGCAGTACTGTCCTGGGCCAGTCGGGATGTGTGGTGCCCTATCAATGGATCATAAAGAACAATGTAAAAGTAAATCACTTTCTTTAAAGTAGACAATAAATTTTGTGACCATAAAAATCCACTTACTTCACTTTTTAAACTTATTTTTCTAGAAAGTAGGTTTTAATTTTATCTTTTTTTTTTCAGTCTATAAATAAGGAACATTCCCACACCCTCTTTCACTATGTAAATATTTTTTATTTATGCCAGAGGGAGGCATAAATGGGGCAGGGTGTGGGTGGGCATGGGGAAGGGGGTGTTCTAAAGGGTTATACTCAATTGAATATTTAATCTGTTTCTGTCTTTTTGAGTAGCTATTCCTCCCATGCCCTCACCCCACCTTATGACAAAAGGATCTAAAAAGAGGGGAACTGTAGACAAAGTAGCTGCAGCTATTTCAGGTCACTACTCTGACTTAGATGAACTTGACTTGACATTAGATGTTCAGAGATGGAGGCTCTCTAAAAAGGTGACTTAGTTCTATCAGAAGACCCATTTAGGGGGATCTCCTAGCTTAGAAGTCACAGTTAATTTTCCCTTATTATAAAATAATAATAATTACCTGATAATCTTCAGGCTATCTCTTGCCCATTTCTATCCCTTCACTCTTCTTTGCACAAAAGATGTCACCTAAGACATCCATGAAATGTAGACAAGTATCTTAGTCCCAAAGGACTCTGGAGAGAGGAATCCTTTTATTACCTTTTGAAGTAATTAACTTTATCTTTGTATTCTGATATAATTTCAAGATTTAGAGAAAAGTGGCAAAAATAGAGTAATACGAAGAATTCCCATATACCCTTCATTCAGATTCCCCAATATACACATATTGCAACATTTTCTTTATCCTTGTGTCCCACCCATCCTTTACACACACACATATGCACACACACACACAAACACACACACACACACAAATGCACAAAACACACACTCTATTCCTGAATAATTTGAGAAAAGTTGCAGATATATGCCCTTTTATCTCTAAAATGTTTTATATATTTACTAAAACCAAGGACATTCTCTTCTATAACCACTGTACAATGATCAAAACCAGGATATTAACACTGATACAATATTATAATCTATAAATTAGTTTCCATTATGGTCAATTGTCCCATTAATGTCCTTTATAACACAAGAAAATCACACATAATGTACGGAACATTTATCATTCTCTCCTTGGTCTCCTTTGATCCAGAACATTCTTCAGTCTTCATCCTTAACATCTTTGTACAAAATACCTGGCCTGTACACTTACAAAGATGACACCTTTAAGTCATCTTTGTAAGTGTACAGGCCAGGTATTTTGCACAATGTCCCTCGATTTGGATTTGCTTGGAGTTTCCTCATGATTAGACTCGGGCAATATATCTCTGGAACCCTGTTGCAAGTATTTTAAAGTTCCATGTACTAGATGCTTATTTTTTCATCAGCTTATCCCTAAAGCTGCTGTTTCATTCTAATTCTAATCCTTAACTGCATACCTTGATCCAGTATAGTCAATGACTCTCAACCTTGGCTGTGCATTGGAACCACCTAGGCAATACCGTACAAGTTAACCAGAATCTCTAGGGTTGAGATCTGAGCAATGGTATGTTAAAAAGTTTCCCAAGTGATTATAATGTGCAGCTAGTGGTTACTTGGTTTGTTGTTACCCTTGAATAGGTACTAAATTTTCTTGGTGGAATGAGAGAATTTAGACAGTTGGAAGACCTTCCCATTCTATCCATCTGGATTAAACTTGATTAATAAAAGCCAAAGTCTTGCTTGCTGGCAAGAAGAGCTACTGATTCTCACTGTACCCCATTAACCTGACAGTTTGAATTCTTCATAACTTGATGGACATTTGTGGGTATGTTAGCAACCAGGTAACACCAAAAGAGTACCCAATTGTCTCCTTCTTTTGAGATACACTAGCAGAATAGCCTTGCTCTTGAGAAGTTTACTTCAACCTTGGCACTATTGACATTTGGGGCCAGATAATTCTTTGTTACAGACAACTATCCTGTGCATTGTAGGATGTTTGGTGTGAGCCCTGGCTGCCATCCACTAAATGCCAGTAGCATCCTACAATGCCAGCAGCATTTAGTGGATGGCGGCCAGGGCTCACACCAAACATCCTACAATGCACAGGACAGTTGTGCATTGTGACAAAATGTTTCCAGCCATTCTCAAATGTTTCCTGTGAAGGGAGGAATTGCCCCCTGTTGAGAAACACTGCTGTATGCATTCCTGCCTCAATATCTTTGATCAAACGATTCTTCACACCCATCTCCACTTATCAGTTGAATTAGGGGGTGGTATAGTATATATGTGGCTATAAACATTGGCTTGGTTATCAGACCATACTGGGTTCAATTTTTTGATATGTCACTTACTGTAAGAGAGCCTTGCTCAAATAATTGTGCCTTTGTAACTCTCAGTCTTGTTATCTGCAAAATAGAAATAATAAGAACAGCTCCTTCATAGAGTTGTTGTGAGAATTTAATGAGATAATGCAGAAAATGTGTCTGATGAATAGTAACTCCCCAAAAAAGCGTTGCTTAATGAGCTAATGCATGTAAAGTGATGAGTTAGTGTTTGGCACATGATAACTCAGTAATCAGTATCTGTTGGTGGTTGTTGTTATCATCCTTATTAGTGATGAAGCTGTGACACAAAGTGACTCAGAGTCTTGGTCAAGATCACATAGCAAGTTAATGGTAGAACTAGGAACAGAACCCATGCCTTAGTACTCTTAGTGAAATGCTCTCTACCCAACACAAAGCTTTGAAAGACCAAGGACAATTCCAGGAAAGACAAAGCTTTTGGCCAAGTTAGCTCTGGGCAGTGCCTTAATATCCCAGACTTGGCAGTAAAAGTGAGATGATTAATCATTTTGAGTTGGAGAAGTCAGAACTAAGGTCATTCAAGGGAGCATTTAAAGGTATAGAATCTCTTACCAGCTCCTGAAAATAATTTTTTAAAAATGAAAACAGAAAAGTTTTAGGAATACTTTAATCTCTTATAGCCAAATACTGGCACACCAGAACATTGAACTTTTATAAGATGTCAACCCTTAACAGATAAAAGAACCTTCGCTGAAGACTTCAGTGAACATAGTAAACATGAACACTCAGATTAGAAGACTACCAAAAAAAAAAAAAAAGAAGAAGAAAAAAAAATCACACACAGCAAGGCAAATTAAATTCCTAGGAATACGTAGCAGGCATCTCCAGATACACCATAACCATGTTATAATGTAAATAACAGGGCTTTCTTTCCCTATTGGGCTGTATTTTAAAGGGGATTCTACTGGTTCCAGTGAAGCCTTGGAGAATTACTTCAACTGCCAAGAGGCTGTAGCTTTTTATGAAATATCAGAGTAGAGAAGTTCATTCATCATAGCCGGTGGGCCAGAAGCCTGTACCATCCATTTCTTCTGCTCTTCAGTAAAGAAGTGGGGTGTTAATTACACCACTTCATATTTCTCCTAATAAGTATATTTTATCCAAAAGAGACCACTCAAATACCCAACATACAACTTGTGTTACTGCTGTATTATTGTGGTCACGGATACCTCAAAAATAGGTCACACTGGTTTGTGAAGGAATCTTAGTAGAATGGTTAGTGAGATGCCTCAGGGACACATGTGGACACACATGTATGTGCATACATGTGGGGGATGTGTGTAGGACCCTGTGTGTGTGTGTGTGTGGCTATTTTACCAAAGAACAGAGATGTCATCTTTTACCTAAATCAGTAATTTCCAAAGGCAATGTTAAAAATATTATCAATCAGTACAGTTCTAGAGTACACATTAGCCATACCCCTATGGCAGAGGCCACTGCTGTGCTGAATGTCACCTCTTTAGCTGCTGGTTGGTCAGGAGGTTCCTGAAGAAAGGGTCAGGCAGCTGAGGTTTGGGGTAGAGTGAGGGAGGGGAGGAGAAAAACAGTCAGGGATATTGGGTCACAGCTACGTAGGAATGGCATTAGGGAATTAGTTTGACATTTTAATAGGCATGTGCTCACTAATAACAGCTCTGGACATATGTCCAGTTTATAGCATCTGCCTTTATTTTAGAGGTTTGCAAGACCAGCTCTGAAGAGCAGAATTTCTCAAACTGTGTCCACAATTGGTCTGTGCATGAAAATACCTTGGTTTGCTCATCAGAAACAGATTCCTGGAGTTGCCATCTGGGAATGTAAGTTTTAAACAAGTTTTCCAAGTGACAGTTAAGTAGCTACAGGTTTCAATCTACTCTTCAAAAAGTGTATTCAAAGAAGAAGAAGCCGCTTGTAGTTAAGAAATCAGGTATGGCTTTAAAACAAGTGAAAAGGGAGATCTGAATTATTTAATCAGAGAGGGAAGGCTCAGCAGTGATGTAACAGGTTTCAAACAGAACCAATTAGCATGTAGAAAATGGGCTCCTCTGTGCTTCAAAGACAGCTTGAAAAAGAGAACTGAGTTAAACATGTTTCTCTTGTTATTTTTCTGTTTATTCTTATTAGTGATTCTAATTTATTAATAATAAGAGATACCATATGTTGAATGGTTACTATATGTTGGGCATTATTCCAAAGGCATTATAAGGCATGATTTTTATTTTATTAATAGACCTAGGGAAATATCACTGCTCCCATTTTACAGATAATGAGACTGGGTGATTACTTTGTCCAAGGTCACACAGTTAATAGGTAGCAGTTTTTCTCTGGCATCCATTAAGCACTATGCAAATCTGCCTCCCATTATTATCATTAATGATAACTTTCTTTCACTGAGCACCACATATACTGGAAGCACTACAAGGTCAGGGATGCTGCCTGTCTTGCTCATCCCTATTTGCCCAGGGTCCAGCAAAGTCCTAAACTGCCAAATTAAAAAAAAATTTTAATTGAATAAAAGAGAAAATTTAATGACGTGTTTTAAAACAAGTACTTCATATTTCTCCTAATAAGTATATATTATCCAAAAGAGACCATTTAACTATCCAACATACAACTTGTATTACTGCTCAATTATTGTGTACTGATAGCTCAAATATAGGTCACATTGGGTTGTTAAGAGAAAATGATGCTGTTTTAATCCTTAAATTTCTCTGAAAAGAAGACCCTCTTTCTTCATCTATTGAATATGTTTATGTTCACTTTCTAAATCACACTGTGAAACCAAAGCCTGGTTTTGGACCACTGAGCTAGAGCTTAGGAGGAGACATTCATCTTTATGATTCAATGATGGTGCCATAAGTAATCTTATACTTGAAGTTACTGATGCGCAAAGTGTACAAATCAATTTGGCAGAGAACTGCTTTCATGTCCTTTCCGGCTTTCAATGCAAATAGAGTTTTAAACCCTTTCCAAAAAGCCAATTCTAGAGGCAAAGGTAGGGTTCTGGACCCAAGTCAAATCTGTCTTTTACTCTAAATATTAAAAGTACAACATAAAACCTCAGGATTCCAGAGTTAGGGTTATCTATTCTAATCTTTCATTCCAGAAGTAAGAAATCTTAAGCCCAGAGCACAGGTGATGCTCAAAATATTTGGAAATATTTCTGCATGGGAACCGCATGACCAGGGGAGAGGCATTAAGCCTTTACTGACTGGATGATGGAGAAATCCAGAGAGTCTCAGGAAGAGGGCCGAGTGGCCAAGGCAGCATTGCAGGGCCCCTGGGTAAAGGATATTTACCAATATAAGCATATTTCAGGCCATGTGTGGTGGCCCACACCTCTAATCCCAGTACTTTGGGAGGCTGAGATGGGAGGATCACTTGAGCCCAGGAGTTCAAGACCAGCTTGAGCAACATAGCAAGACCCTACCAGTAAAAACAAAATTAGCTGGGCATGGTGGTACCTGCCAGTAGTCCCAGCTACTTAGGAAGCTGAGGTGGGAAGATCACTTGAGCCCAGGAGATCGAGGTTGCAGTGGGCTATGATTGTACTACTATATTCTAGCCTGGGCAACAAAGACTGTCTCCATAAAAAAACAAACCAACAAACAGAAAACCCCCAACCAACTGTATTTCAATAATTTGAAAAAGAGGTACAGACATACCAGTGTGAACTGACTAATATTAGCCATTCCCCAGAGAAAAAGTGACTTATCCCCAGGAAGTCAGTGGCAAAGACAAGAACTCCGATTTTCTGACTTCCCTCCCAAGATATTTGTGCAGCCTTGCTCAAGATGCTTTCTCTTTGTCCTCAGTATTGAAGGCTGCCTTGATGGTGGGCTGCCAGCAACGTAAGCCTTTGGATATAATTTGAACACATCAGTTTCCCAAAGGCCCGGTTAACTGAGATACTGTAATACTTTCCCATTTTATTATGATGTTTTAAAATAACTTTTCTGCTGCAATTAAATATAAGTATGAATGTTACAAATTCTTCACACTGATTTAAAGTGTAGAGAAGCAAGGCGAACCTTCTTCGTGGTAGAAGTAGCATAATTTTAAGTACTGAGTAAAGCCTTACAGTGTGCCTGCATTATTAACACTCCACAAACCTTTCTAAAGACCTAGTTGCTCAATCCAGGTGGCAGTTGGTTAGATTACAGGTGCCAGATGGTTCAGAAAAATTGGGAAATGTGACATGTACACATACAAGTATCTTAAAAATTATATTTGGGTAAACTTGATTTATAACATCAGAGAATACTTGATTGATTTTTTAAAATATAAATGAGGAATAGCTTGAACTGCTGCCCTAAAGGATAAAAGGACAGAATTAAGGTAGGCAGAAAATTTGCACCTTCTCATTGCAAAATATGGTGAAAGGTTAAGAACTCACAATAACAATTCAGTTGAAAGGCTTTAGAACTTAAAGGTGGCTCTTAGGATGGAGTGAGGATATTTAGTCTTGGCAGAGTGGACATCACTGTCCCATTCTGTGACTCCAGGGATGTGGGGGCACAAGTGCAAAGGTGGTGAATGATTAGCCCAGTGAGGCCACTCCAGTGTTTCTGCTGTCCCAGGATGGCGAAATAATGTCGTGACTATCTCGAAGGGAATGACTTGCAAACATGAACTCCAAAAACTGGTAAAGGGAAGAAAAATCACTAATGTTTAATAAAATCCAATAGACTAGAATGTGCAGTTTGCAGGAGTTCCCCAGGTGATTCAGCTCATTTGTTAAGATTTTGGTACTGCTGCAGCAAAAGGGAAGCTGATATTTGCATCTGGACTATTCCTAAGTGGTCCTGAAGCTTTTTTGCTGAGGAGGGAGCCTGCGTCACAAGTGAGGCCAGGCTGGTGCCTGAGAGAGTCACCGTGATGGAGTGCTGCACACATGGCATCCACAGCCTACATCATTTCAGGGCTGGCTACTCCTGGCCATTATATTCCTGCAGCTCTGACTCTGAAGAGCTGACACAGTTCTTTTTGCCTATAGTTTATCTGCAAAAAGCAGTATGCTACTGCAATCTTCATGAATTATGGGATATGGGAAAGTATTAAATACCCAACTCTTAAGATGCCTCTTGAAACATCCGTCCTCTGTAAAAACAGCACTGTTTCTTTCCACCTTCATTAATTGTTCTCTTATCTACTTCCACTGAAGTCAGATTATATACCACACAGTTAGCATTTGATTATGCACTATCTATATATAGCATCTATTTGTTGATCTATATGTATTTGCTTTGCTTTCTCAAATATTTATTAGTTCACTAATAATTTCAGGTCATAATTTCTTTAACTACACCTAGAAATGCACACACACACACACACACACACACACACAAACCTTACTGAATCCCTAGTTATGTTTGTGTAAAATTATGCAACATGTAATGTTCACCACCATTGCATCATTAATGATAACATGTAGGCCGGGCGCGGTGGCTCAAGCCTGTAATCCCAGCACTTTGGGAGGCCGAGGCGGGTGGATCACGAGGTCAAGAGATCAAGACCATCCTGGTCAACATGGTGAAACCCCGTCTCTACTAAAACTACAAAAAATTAACTGGGCATGGTGGCGCGTGCCTGTAGTCCCAGCTACTCAGGAGGCTGAGGCAGGAGAATTGCCTGAACCCAGGAGGCGGAGGTTGCGGTGAGCCGACATCACGCCATTGCACTCCAACCTGGGTAACAAGAGCGAAACTCCGTCTCAAAAAAAAAAAAAATGATAA